GTCCTGAAGCCTGGAGGAGAGGGCAGAGCTGAGATTTGCTAAGGGGAGAGGGTGTCATTAGTAGACAGAGGGTTGGAGTCGCAGTCACCCCAGGAAAAGGCAGTGGCCACAGAGATGGGACATTCCATCCACATGCCTCCCCCTCCAAACTGCCAGAGGGATACTCTCAGCTGCCCCTTCTTTGCCACCCCCCCACCCTGACCAGCCTCCTCCTGCTCCAACCAGCACCGTGTGCACACCATCCTGAGTGCAGACCTGGTGATTGTCCTGAAACGTGGTGCCATCCTTGAGTTCGACGAGCCAGAGAAGCTGCTCAGCCGGAAGGACAGTGTCTTTGCCTCTTTTGTCCGTGCAGACAAGTGACCTGCTGGAGCCCAAGTGCCGCCCCATAGCCTGCCTGCCCCTGCCTCCTGCCTGGGCTTTCTCGCTGTACAATCAGTTGTAAATAAAGAGATTGGTTATTTCCTACCGGAGGCCTTGGGTCTGATGGCCAGGAACCAGGGTGGCCTGGGGGCCAGTGTAGCCAGCCTGCCTGGCATCAGGCAGACCTGAAGCTGTGTCAGTGTGGGCAGAAGTGTATTTCCTTATCTGTTAAATGAAGTACTAGTCTGCTCAAGCTGCCATAACAAAATAGCAGACTAGGAGACTTAATCAGCAAAAGGTTATTTCTGACAGTTCTGGAGCCTGGAAGTCCAAGATCAAGGTGTCATACGTTTGCTTTCTCCTGAGGATCTAGTTACCTCTGCACAGGTCCTGTGACCAAATACTGTCACACTGGGGAGGAGGGGGGCTTCAACATATGAATTTAGGGCATTAACAAATGAATTTGGAGGGCGGGACACAGTTCAGTCCCTAACAACAGTTATAGCATTTTTGTGATGATTTCATCAGACTAAGTAGTCCTCTTCTTTCTCACTTTATTTCTTGGGTTAAAATTGTGGGGTGCCCTGAATTGGTACCATTTCCAATACAACTGACAGGAATCCAGCTCAAAGTGGCTTAAACAAAAACTGGAATGTATTGTCCTATATGAGGGACCTGGCCTTCTCCATCAAGCATGGCTGGATCCAGGTGTTTGACATCAGGGTTGTGTCTCTATTTCTGGGTTCCATCTTCCTCTTGCTCCCTGATGACAAATGGCCAGTAGCACCTCCAGCTTATACCCTACCCTTCTGAAAGAGAAATGCTTTTTCCCAACAGGTCCAGCAAAAATCTTGGGAGCAAATCTCAATGGACCAACTTAGGTCATCCCCCACCTCCACCCAAACACTGTGGCCGGAGGCTGGGATACACTGACTGGCTATGCTTGGATCACATGACCCCACCTGTGTCCTCCATATAGAGACATTCAGAATGGGAGAGGGGTGGTCCTTCAGAGGGAAGGTCAACCACAAGTCGACCAGGTGGTGGCTGGAGATGCAGAGTCCCAGACACCGGGGAGACCAAAACAACAGATATCCTTTGCTTCTATCAGCATCATGAAACAGGAGTACACACCTGCCCTCAGCCAAGAAATGGCAGGTCCTCATTTACATATCATGTTATCATTTACCTGTTGCCTCCAGTACTGTCTATACCAGGCTCTGGGTGTAGACCCAGGAGTCTTGGACCTGTGTCCCTCTTGGTTGCAAGGGGGTCATAGCAATGTAAGGAAAACCCACCAGTCCCTGGGAAGAGGCCTAATACAGACCTTTCGGATATTCCAGGAGCCAGAGGGAATCAGTAAGTGAGAGCTCTGTAAGGCCTAGCAGGCTGCCTAAGGGAGGCAAGATTTGAGTCGGGCATGAGAGGGGTGGGAATTGGACAGGCAGAGTTAGAGGAAGCGGCCCATGGGGTGGGGGGAGGGAGCATAGATCAGAGAGCCTTAAATGCCAGGACAAGGAGCCTAGAATAAGCCTATGAACACGAGGGAAGTGGAGAAGATTTTTGAGCAAAAAAGGAACCTGACAAGTGTAGTATTTGGAGGAGATGTGTATGAGGAGGTGCAGGATGGAGCAGGGCAACAGGCTGAGCTCTTTGGATAAGCACCGAAAGGGTGAAACAGCTAATAGCTGAGGCCTCAGTGCCATACTATGAGGCAGGGCCTTGCCTTTCCAGCTCTAGGATGCCTCTTAGGGCCTAGTGGCTCCCTCAACTAAAGGGCCTCCCAAAAGCAGAGACTGAGAAGGAAGATTTCCACCCCTGACCTCACTTTGCACCCACCACACCTCAATGGATTGAATGGGGGTAACAGAGGTAGGGTAAGGCCGACACTGAAGTCTTGCAGGATGCCCAGGGCTACTGTGGCCCAAACCCCTCTACAGTATCCCTGATGGTCAGCCAACTTTGACTTGGATGCTCCAAAGACATGGGTCATCTCTAGTTATTAGAACTGACTTTTCCGTATGTGAAATCACATCCTGCCTCTGTTCCACTCAGTGTCTATACTGGTTCTATACTTTAGATCACACAGAACTACTATCACTGGACCCCTGGAGTTTCTACAATAGTGCCCAAACTCCCTAGGAGGCGCTCCACAGCTCCTTTTCTGGTGGCTGAGTGGCTGGTTTCCTATGTAATCCTGTCTCCTTGAGGTCCCCACTCTGATCATCCTGTTTGCCCCTCCCCACCCTAGGCACTGCATCTCTGTTAATATAGCCCAAGTTCACACTTACCCTGAATAGCAGTGTTCACTCTGCCTGCAGGTAAGCGTGAGAGAGAAAGGAAAACTCACTATGAAAATCACAATCTGCCCCACTGTGGCCCATATCCCCACTGTCCCCCTCTTTCCAGCTCTGCCTCAAGCCCCCACTCCAACAAATCGACACACATGGGTCAGGGCTCCATAAAGATCTGAGCTCCAGAGAAGGAACAGGGCCATTACTGTCCCAACACCAGACCTAGAAGACTTTCCATCCCAGCTGAGAACTGGGGTTCCCCATGTGAAGCCCAAGCCACAGGGCAACCCTAAGCTGATGCTTGCAGTAGAGGCACCACTCATGTTCAGGTCAAGAGCTTGAATCCCCCAGTTCCCAAGCCAACCCTAAAACAGCCCCTCAGACCCAGGTTCCTCCCACTACCTAAGGTATAAGAAACAATGTTGCAGGTGCAAGCAAAGCAAAGCTAGTGTTGGTAGTGAAAGCGCTCTTTAAAATACAGTTTGGTGGTGCGGGGGGGTGAGGGGGGGAGGTTACTGTCTGACTTTGGCTCAGGTCATGATCTCCCAGTTGGTGGGTTCAAGCACTGCATTGGGGTCTGTGTTGACAGCCAGCTCAGAGCCTGGAGCCTGCTTCAGATTCTGTGTGTGTGTCTCTCTCTCTGACCCTTCCCTACTCACTCTCTCTCTCTCTCTCTCTCTCAGAAATAAATAAAACATAAAAAAAAATTTTAAACCCAGTTTAGTGGGGCGCCTGGGTGGCTCAGTCAAACATCCGACTCTTGATTTCAGCTCAGGTCGTGATCTCACGGTTGGTGAGATTGAGCCCCATACAGGGCTCTGCACTGACAGCACGGAGCCGGCTTGGGGGTCTCTCTCTGCCTCTCTCTCTGCCCCTTACCTGCTTGCACCACCCCTCTCTCAAAATAAATAAACATTAAAAAAAAATACAGGGGTGTAGTTGTGGGATGATTAGGAAGATGCAGCCACCCAGGCTTCTAGGCTGCAGCATCCAGCATCCCTTGCAGAGGGTGTGAAGCTATGCTCCTGCACCGACTAGCAACGCGCATTCTTTTCTGGGGAGGGAGTCTGTGGCTTTCATCAAATTCTCAAAGGATCCATGACTCAGAAAACATTAAGAGCATCCCCAAAGAGAAGAAGCAGTCAGTTGAGAAATCTCGGGCCACCTAATATCTCGCAGTCACCAGGTTGGTGACGCAGCCCCTCGGTGCCTCCTTTCCCTGGGAACCCGCGAAGCCCAATCCTGCAGGAGAGGTGGGTATTGGCCCAACTGAGTATGGGAAAATTGACAGAGGAAAGTCAAGGGGATGGGGACTGCGGTCCTCAGAATGTAAGGCGGGTCGCGACTCCCCTCAGTGTCCCCGCGTGGGCAAGAGGAATCTCTTTTGATCCATCTGATTGGGCAGTCCCCCAAAACTGAGAATCTGGAACAGGAAGGCGGGGCGTGCGGGGGGTTGTGTGAATGGCGAGGGGCGGGGCTTGAGCCTGTGCCCGCCCCTCCTCCAGTTCAGGAATAGGTCGGGCTCCCCCTGGCGGCCCCGGCTCCCCACTCCACTCCTCCGGCGCCCCCGCCCTCAATCTTCTGCCCCCACCTAGCACAGGTCGGTCTCAGTGGACCAACGGACACACGGACAGACGGACGAGAGGACCACCCGCTGGGACGCCTGGGCGGCCGGAGGGGCGGGGAGGCGACGGCTGCGGCTTGAGGAGCAGGAGCAGGTGCTGCGGCGACGAGCGGGCGGGGCAGGACGGAGCCGAGCGCCGGGCGGGGGCGCGGCGCCGGCTTGCGTGGGGCCGGCGGGGAGCCGAGAGGCCGGACTCTGAGTGAGCTGGGCCAGGTTGCGCAGGGGGCGAGGGGATCTGGAGTGGAGTCCGGTGGGGTAGTGACTCTGGAGGGCGCGGGATCCCAAGGAGACAGAAAGGACAAGCGCGGAGGGGGATCCGAACAGCCCCGGGGGGGGCGGGGGGGGGGCTACGGCGGGTGGACTAGAAAGGGGAGTATACGTGGAGGCCAGACTGGGGGTCGTCAGAATATGAAACTGGAGCTTGGAAGGGGGCCGGGAGCAGAAATGGGTAAGGCAAGAGAAACGGTGGGGGCTGTGTGAGGTCTGGTGAGTTGGTAAGATCCGGAGGTGTTAAGTTCCAAGGTAGAGGAGGTGGGTTGAGAAGGAGGGCTGGGAGAAGGAGTCTAGGGGGAGGCCCAGGGGTGGTCAGCGGTGGAAGTGAGTTGAGCTGGGATCCAGGACAAGGTGGGGGAACAGGCCAGGTAGGGGGGCGCAATAGGCAATGGGTAGGTGGGCTGAGGTGAGGCTGGTTTAAAGAAGCAGGGGCCAGGTGGCGGTAAGGATGAGTCTGGTTGGGGAGGCTTCTCAGAAGTGACACCAGCACAGACTTAGGGTGGTCCCCGGTGGAAGGGTGCCCAGGGAAGACACCTCACAGTGAGGCCTAAGACTTGGTCAGGAGGGTGCCCTCCATGGGGCAAGCCTCTCCCTGGTGGTTGCCGGAGCCATGCTGTCCCGGAAAGGCATCATCCCTGAGGAGTATGTTCTGACACGGCTAGCAGAGGACCCTGCAGAGCCCCGGTACCGCGCCCGGGAGCGGAGGGCCCGCTTCGTGTCCAAGAACGGCAATTGCAACGTAGCCCACAAGAACATCAGGGAGCAGGGCCGATTCCTGCAGGACGTGTTCACCACACTGGTGGACCTCAAGTGGCCACACACGCTGCTCATCTTCACCATGTCCTTCCTGTGCAGCTGGCTGCTCTTTGCCATGGCCTGGTGGCTTATCGCCTTCGCTCATGGAGACCTAGCCCCTGGCGAGGGCACTGCTGTGCCCTGTGTCACCAGCATCCACTCTTTTTCATCTGCCTTCCTTTTCTCCATTGAGGTCCAGGTGACCATTGGTTTTGGTGGACGCATGGTGACTGAGGAGTGCCCGCTGGCCATCCTGATCCTCATTGTGCAGAACATCGTGGGGCTCATGATCAATGCCATCATGCTGGGCTGCATCTTCATGAAGACCGCCCAGGCCCACCGGCGGGCCGAGACCCTCATCTTCAGCAAGCATGCTGTCATCGCCGTGCGCCACGGCCGTCTCTGCTTCATGCTGCGCGTGGGTGACCTCCGCAAGAGCATGATCATCAGCGCCACCATCCACATGCAGGTGGTGCGCAAGACCACGAGCCCCGAGGGTGAAGTGGTGCCCCTCCACCAGGTGGACATCCCCATGGAGAATGGTGTGGGTGGCAACAGCATCTTCCTGGTGGCTCCTCTCATCATCTACCATGTCATTGATGCCAACAGTCCCCTCTACGACCTGGCACCCAATGACCTACATCACCATCAAGACCTCGAGATCATTGTCATTCTGGAAGGTGTGGTGGAAACCACAGGCATCACCACCCAGGCCCGCACCTCCTACCTGGCTGACGAGATCCTCTGGGGCCAGCGCTTCGTACCCATTGTGACGGAGGAGGATGGCCGCTACTCCGTGGACTACTCCAAATTCGGCAACACCATCAAAGTGCCGACACCACTCTGCACCGCTCGCCAGCTTGACGAGGACCGCACCCTGCTGGATGCCCTGACCCTCACCTCGGCCCGCGGCCCCCTGCGCAAGCGCAGTGTGGCTGTGGCCAAGGCCAAACCCAAATTTAGCATCTCTCCGGATTCCCTGTCCTGAGCCATGGTCGCTTGGGCCCCCACACTGTATGTGTGCACAGGGGCAGTGTAGTATGGTATGTAGAATGGACATGGTATGGGCCCCCTGGCCAGGCCAGGATCTGGTGTGAGGCTGGGCCCTCTTTAGCTCAGCCTCCCCTCCTGCTGTTAGCCCATGGTGTTACAAGGCCCTTGTCACTACGCTATTTCTGGCCTCAGCAGGAGACTGTACTGGGTTATTTTTGTCTCTGCTCCTCCCAGCCCCAGCTCAGGACTGGTTCACCCCCACTCCCTGCCCTCTCCCCAGACTGGGGAAGCTGTCGGGAGTGTTGGACCCTAAAGTTGGGTCTCTGAACTGACCTGCATCCCCATGATCAATTAACCACAAGCTGGGCAGGTGGCTGGGGAAGAACAGTCCCCGGGTTGGCAACCTGCGGCTCTGTTTCTGCGGCCCCAAGAGATGACTGGCCACTCTTGTTCCCTGAAAAAGTGAAGGCTTAATGGGTGGGCCCTGACAGCTGGAGAGGGCAGTCAGTGAAGGAGCACATTCCAGCTGGAGGGTGGGAGGTGTGGAACCTGCAGATAGGGGAAGGCTGAGGCTGACAGGGCTCCCCTCCCGGGGGACAGATCAGGCAGGGAGGAAATGGGGTGAAGACACTCAGCTATGCTGAGCCCTGCTCAGGCACAGGGAAGAGGAGATGGGCCCCTGTGCCTCGCCCTTTGCCCTGACACCAAGGCTTCAATGGTGAGGGGCCTGGGTTCCTGCCCACTCCCATTCTGCCCCTGCCCTGGGAGGCTGAGGTGGGCTGGAGCAGACTTTGGCATGCCAAGCAGAAAGAGGCTGAAGAGAGGGGGTTCTGGGCCCGCCATACAGATTGAACTCTGGTCCTGGCTCCCCATGAGTGGCTACCACTCACCTTGTCTGCCAGAGGGTGGCTGTGGAGGGTCTTTGCGTTGGAAAAGGAGATATTGGGGAGCTCCGGATGGTGGGGTGATCGAGGTTGCTGAGGCAAAGAGGTCCTGGGTCCTCATGGGCTTAACCCCAAGTGGCGCTCTTGAAGCAGTGCTGTGTATACTTGCCCAGGATTCTGCCTTCTCTGTTGTCAATAAAGCCTCCCTCAAGTCTGGGCTGCTCTTGTTGGGGAGGGAAAGGGCATGCCTCAGGACAGGGAGGGCCAGGTGCCACAGATCCTAGCCAGGAGACCAGGCAAAGGGCTTGGGGCTGACCCTTGTCACCCAGGTCGAGAGACTTTTACCTTTCTGCCTCAGGCAGCCCAGCCCTGGCAGCCTGTCTGACCATCTCAGTTTGGGGGCACCTACCAGGCTTATAGCCCTGCTTCCACTCCCAGCGATCTGCTGGAAAGCTGGGGCAGTCAGGGCAAGAGGTGGGGACATCATATGCATTAGTGTACAGGCACCTCGGAGGTATCGAGGGTTCAGTTCCAGCCCACCACAATAAAGCAATTATCGTGATAAAGACAGTCAAATGAATTTTTTGGTTTCCTAGTGCATATAAAAGTTATGTTTACACTCTACTGTAGTCTATTAAGTGTGTAGTAGCATTATGTCTAAAAAAAACAATGTACATAACTTAATTAAAAACTATTTTATGGCTGAAAAGTGCTAACCATCATCTGAGCTTTCAGTGAGTTGTAATCTTTTTGCTAGAGGGTCTTCCCTCAATCTTGATGGCTGCTGACTGATTAGGGTGGGGGCTGCTGGAGGTTGGGGTGGCTGTGGCAATTGGATAAGATAAGACAACAATGAAGTATGCCGCACTGATTGACTCTTCCCTTTATGAATGATTTCTCTGTAGCATGCCATGCTGTGTGATAGCATTTCAGCCACAGTGGAACTTCTTGCAAAACTCAGAGTCACCCTCTCAAACTCCGCCGCGGCTTTATCAGCTCAGTTTATGTCATATTGTAAATCCTTTGTTGTCATTTCAGCAACCTTCACAGCATCTTCACCAGCAATAGATTCCATTTCAAGAAATCACTTTCTTTGTTCAGGCCTAAGAAGCAACTCATCATCCACGCAAGTTTTATTGTGAGATTATAGCCATTCAGTCCCATCTTTGGGCGCTACTTCTAATTCGAATTCTCTTGCTAATTCCACAACATTTCCAGTAACTTCCTGACTGAAGTCTTAAACCTTCAATTTGTGAAAAGTGCAGTCTCTGCAAAACTCAATAAAGCAAAGCATAATAAAATGAGGTATGCCTGTAGTAATTGCAGTGTAAGCTCTTAAGCCCACTTGTGTTCAAATCCTGGCTCTGGCTCTAAGGTTGTGATCACGTAACTTCTCTGTGCCTCAGTTGCCTCATCTATAAAGTGGGACTGCTAATAGCACATACCTCATAGAATTGTTATGGGAGTAAATAAAAAACATGTAAAAGGCTTAAGTGCCTTCTCTATAACAAGGGCTTAATAAATGTTAACTGTTTTCATGCTGCCGAATTAGCTATGATGAGACAACTGACCACACAAATGGTGAGGGAGAAATTACACTTCCCCTCAGTGATGAGTTTCTCTGCCTGGTTTTATTTTATACGCAATGCACCCTCCCAGCTCAGACCTGATGACAGGGCTATGGTAGAACCTATTACCTGGTCTTCTCGTCTCACTTCACCCCCTGTAATCCAGCTGCCATGCAGCCCCAGATGGTCTCAAAGGGTTGCAGTCATTTCCTCCCATGTCAAGGACCTTCGTTAATTCTCCATCACCTTCTGGGTCCAGGCTAGACCCTGTAGCCAGCCATTTCTGCTTTCTGGCCTTGAATGTCACTGTTCTCTTGCCAGGATCTTGTGCAACCATCCATCTCCCATCAGCCTCACTATTCCCTCCTTGCACATACCATTGACCTTCCTACCTCTGAGCTTTGCTTCTGTTATTCCCTTTGCCTAGAATGCCCAGGCCTCATCTCTGCCTGTTGAAATTCATAAAAGTATTTCATGTCACTGTGGTCCAGGCCAAATGATGCCTCCTTGAAGCCCTCCCTGATTCTTCTGAAAAGAGATTGTCCCTTCTCTTCCTTTGTGTTTGTGGGCAACCCAAACTTTTGCCTGTGTTTGTGGCGAACCCAAGTTTGTGGCTTCTTAAGATCAGGAACTATATCTGATTCAGCACTGTGGCTGGTACTAAGTAAGTGCCGAATGAATGAGTGAATGAATGATGAATAGTGTATAGGAAAACAAGCCAGCATCACTGTTGCAGTTTGAGGCCTAGAGTGAGCTTTAGCTGGATCAGTGACAGTTTGTCCCGGGCTACTCCAGAGGTAGGGCTGAGGGGGCAGGAAGCTGCCACTGCTTGTCCAAGCTCTAGGCTGCCCCCTCCCTGCACCACCCTGTACCCTCAACATTGCCTGGTTTGTGGTTTAGAAGAAGAGGGATGAAAACCTACTCAAATTCAGCCCAGAGTTCTGGGGACAGTGCCTGGCTCCTGGGACTCAGCTTGGCTGTCCTTAAGGCCAGGAGAGGGGCCAGACTCATTAATGAGAAGCTGTTCAGCAGCACCATTCTTGGGGCCCCATCCAAAGTAACCTTCCTCCACCCCCTCCACCTTAAAGGGCTGGTGACAGAATGGGCAGAGGTGGGGGCTTAGCGCCATCTGCTGGCCACACAGAAGACCTACCTGATCAGAAAATCTGGGCCACTGGTCCCAATCTTTCCCCTCTAAGAAAGACCCTAGCCTCAAGGCTTAGCTCAGGGAGGAGCTGGAAAGTTCCAGGCATGGAGGAAGCTGCTGGACCAATTCTTCTTTGACACCTCTTCTTTAAGACACTGGCCTAAACTGAACAAAGAAACTCCCCTGGGCTCCACTGAACCTAGCAGGAACATCCCAGAATTTATTTCTGATATTCTGCTTCCAAGACAGCAGTGCGCATCACATGAGAGCAAACAGAGCAACCCAAGCTAGTCCACACCCGTGTGCAGGACTGGCTCTTCTCCAGGCCCCCCTAGAAAGGGGAGGAAAGTATCTCATTTCATTCATTGGGGTCCGGGGCTGAAGGAGGTTGTTTCTCTTCCGAGTCTGCAGATGAAGAAACAGGATCAGAAGTAGAGTTAACTTGCTAAGATGTATCTAGTAAGTAGCACGCCCAAGATTTGGACTGAGCTCCTTTCCCCCTGCTGCGCAGTCCCAGTGACCAGGTGGGCTGTCTCGCTCTAAGTGTCAGATCCACTGCAGGGGACAGATGTCTCCGGACCAGGAACAAAAGGAAAAAGTGTAACTCAGAAAGCCCCTGGGCTCTACCCCCCAGTCCCACCAAGGTCCTGGGTTTGAGACTGATGGCTGGCTCAGCTGTGGTTAAGTGACAGCCCAGGATCATGTCCAGAACACCAAGGGAGCCAGAGAGACCTCACTGACACTTCTTGCCCTCCATCTGCTCCCTTTTCGCAAGAGGACTGGGGTCCCTACCTTCCAGGCTACCTTCCCCCCAGTGAGTCAGGTGGCCATTCAAACTGATGGGGCACATTTACCACTCATGTCTGTCCCCACCTCACACCAGATGGCGTGATATGCGTCCTAGGCTTCAGTCCTTAGCTCAACAGGGAGGGAAGCTAAGCCACCCTTTTCCTGTAGTGAAAGAGAACTGCTAGTCTGGAAAAACTAGTCCAGTAGCCATACTAGAAATCTTCCCAGGCCAGATGCCTATGAATTTGGCATCTCCAGCCAGTTACTACAAGGCCCACATATTACTCATGAAGGTGGCCCTCTGGCCCTTCTGCTGGAAAGGACTCACCTAGTTTCTGCAGGACTCACTTACTCTCCACAGGTGGCAAGCTGTGTCCTAAGCTTGAGATCCTCCCCAACATCCTTCCCTAGGGAGCTTGTGGTAAGGAGTAGAGTAGGTCAGGCTTCCCACAGCTCTCTGGGTTCACTTCTGAGGTCTCCCCAGTTTCAGGTATCAGATGCCCTATGTCGTATGAAGACATGCAGATGACTTTGGGGAAGAAGACATGAATTCTGCATGTCAAATCATGTTGACCCCAGATCAAGGCAGGTCTAAGGCACAGTAGATCCATCCCAGCTTGAAAGGGGCTGAGAAAACACAGAGCAATGGGATAATGGGGCTAACATCAGAACTGGGTTCCAGAGAGTGGATTTGTTGCACTAGAACCTACATTATTAGCATCCTCTCTGCCATGTCCACCTGCCTGGGACATTGTGTACCTTCATGGAAAGGAAAGAAGGTGCTACCTACACCCACCGATATTTCTACTCTGGGAAGTCCCTGCTCTGAAGTGACATGAAAGGTAGACCATCTAGACTGACCAGCTTGGGTATAAGGAATGCGAACTTATGCCTTTTTCTTGGCTTTGTGCCCTTCCAGGCACTGATGCCAATGAATGGAACAGGTGATACAAAGCACGTATGCCACTTACTTCCTTCACTGGGAGAAACACTGCTGTACAGGAGTTATGGGTCAATAGTACCCACAGCTCTCTTCAGCTCACATTAGTCACATTACCTCTACTTCATGAAAGGGTATCATTTGCAGCACAATATGTCCCAAACTCCTCCCCAGACCATCAGCACTCAAGGTGAGGCAAACCACACCAGGTAGTGCTGCCTCTGGGTACACTTTACTTCATTTAATCAATGCCAGTCACTCACATAATGCCATCATTACTGGGGAAGGGAAGTTACTCCAGAGAAAAGTAAATGCAATACAGTTCTGAGACTTTCATTCTTTTCTGTTAAATTTTTACTGTGTCCTTGATTACCCATCCATCTTGGAAGCTGAAGAATGAAAATCATCCCATAGTTCTGCCTCTTTTGTGCTTCTTTGGGTCTCTGAAGGTCTGACCAGCATACTCATTTCTGAGCTTAGGAACTCATTAGTGCCTTTTCTTTTTGCTACATCATAGATTTCCTTGCAATCAGTAATGTCCATTCAGCAATCCCCCACATTTTATATCTAATATTTTATCTTCCTATAAAAAGATCTCATTTGTCATTTTCCCACTAATTTTATTTTTACCTTATATTACTTTATTACTCTGTTACAATATCTACAAAATTATAATTTATTAAATTGAAAAAAACCTCAACTACCTTACTACGATTTCCAAAGAGTGTCATTCTTTTTGAATCACTCTCTTTCAATGACAGTAAACATCTTTGGTCTACTTCATTTGCTCCACAGTTCCAAATGCTGCCTGTTCTTCCTTCCACATTTCCACTTTAGGAGATTCACTGGCTTCTCTAATGGTGTGTTCTTGAAACAGGCACCAACTACACTGATGTCGCAATCCCCAGTGCCACCACTAGAGGGACTCTAAATCACCCTCAGGTGGGACGCGGCTATGGGGATCCTATTCTAGTTATCTCTATAAACCAAGAGACTTCCATGTCGGTTATGCCCATGCATTCACGGTGCCCCGCCTCAGTGACCTAAGAACTGTTTTCAGGGTCATTACTTCAACTTTCAGTAGAGATATAAACAGGGCTTCTCTGCCCCACAAACTCTCTGATGCAGTTCTGATAACTACAGTCAGAACCACCACTGTACCTTACCCATGACTAACACCTGGCATGAGACCCCCCCCCACCCCAGTCCTGTCAACCTCTGTCCTGAATGAGGTGCCCACACACAGGTCCAGTTACGAATGGCATCAGCCACTTTGGTTCAGATACAGAAACTAAGGCAATGGTCAAACACACTAACCAACAGGTCTTCCCCTAAGAACAGACAAGAACTGTGCAGACTAAGCCTCTCCTCTAAACCTCATGGTCCAGCTCATCTTTCACAGCCCAACCCCACCCTGGATTTCCTTGGTAGTAGTATAGCATAATGATTAAAAACCCGAGCTCTACCCTTTACTAGCCATGAGACCCAAGACAAGTCACTTGTCTCCTCTCAAAAAAAACTGAGATATTGAATTAAAAGTGCAACTGAATACATTTATTCTTACATTAGTATGTATAGATCAATCTCACTGAACAAAGAAGTAGAGTTTGAAATGGAAACAGCTCACAGTCTAGAAACAAACACTAAGTGTTACTTTTTTATCGGAGTATAATTGACATACAGCGTTATATTAGTTTCAGGTGTACAACATGATTCAACAGTTGTTTATGCTGCAAAACGATCACAGTATGTCTAGTTAACATTTGTCACTATACATAGTTACAAAAATATTTTTTTCTTAAAAGTTGACCTAAATTTTAAAGATTTACTTAGTGACTTCCAAATATGCATTATTAACTAGAGGCACCATGGTGTACATTACATCCCTATAATTTATTTTATAACTAGATGTTTGTATCTTTTGACCACTTTGACCCATTTCATCCACCCCATCCAATCCCACCCTGAAAACTGCCATTGTGTTCTGTTATTGATGAGCTTGGGTTTTGGTTTATAGATTGCACACGTGAGGTAATAATGGCATTTGTCCTTCTCCGTCTAACTTATTTCATTTAGCATAACACCCTCAAGGTCTTTCATCCATGTTGTTGCAAATGACAAGATTTCATTCTTTTTGTATGGGTGAATAAAATTCCAAAATTAATAAATAACATTATATATAATAGAGCTTCATAAATATTTTACATATATATTATATATACCATTTTATAAATACATATATTTCATTTTTTATATATGCATGGGTGTGTGAATATATATGTATATATATACACACACATACACATATAATTTTTCTTTATCCATTCATTTTTAATGGACACTTGTTGCCATATCTTGGCTATTATATAATACTTTAGTGAACATGGGGCGCATATATCTTTTAGAATTAGTGCTTTCATTTTCTTCAAATACCCAGATTTGTGGTTTTGATTTCCCTGATAATTAGTGATGTTGAGCACCTTTTCATGTATCTGTTGGCCGTCTGTATGTCTTCTTTGGAAAGTGTTTCTTTCTTTTTCTTGGATGAGCTGATTGGCAGAAGGCTAGCAGGGAAGGAAGCATGAACAGTCTGCTCTAGAGCAAACCATTCAGGCCATCAGGAAAAGTAATTTCAGTTACTTATGCATTTGCTGAGAAACCTTATTTCTGCTGTTTCTTTGTAAGAACGTCCAGTATTCTTCTAGTGTTTCCTCCATCTGAATAAGGCACGAATGCATCATAATGAAAGCACTTCATTATAATTCTTCAGTCTCTCCTGTATAAGTTTGGGTGTTTCGAGAAGCTTTCAAGATGGAGGATAAGGGATTTGTTTGGGGTAGTACCTTTGAAAGATAAAGGAGAGAGGGCACATCAGTATGGGGGCAAAATCTTTAGACCATGATGTAGGTCTCATATCGTGAAGGGAGGAAGGAGGAGATTGGGTAGCAAGAGCCTCAGGCTACAGTGCAACTCTAAGAAAGTGTTAGCCACCCCCACAGGAAACTACAAAGAATCCTGCCCTTCTTAGCTATTTTCTGGGGCTTCCTGGGGAGAACATGGCATAAGCTTGAATACTGAGTACACTCCATAGCAGGCTCTCTCTGCAAAGGATCTCAGCAGCACATCTTCATAGCAACCATACTTTCTAGTCAAAAGTTAGTTTCATGAGGAGCTGTATCCTTTAGCTTTTGCTGTGTAACAAGCCAACCCAAAATGTAGGCTTGAAAAAAAGCTAAATATTTCTCTCATTCATTTGAGACTTGGCTCTGTTGAGTACTGATGATCTCAGCTGGGTTTGCTCACCTGTCTGGGAGTTGCATGGCCAACATCTGATTTAGACTGGCCTCCACTACAGCAACTAGCTCTAACTTCCAGTGTCATTCGGCCTGCAACAGGCTCTGCTTCTACTATCTCTCAGCCCCCAGCAAGTTCACTTGGATGCATACTCCTCTTACTAATGTCAAAAGCACCAAAGAAAGCAAATGGAAAGGCACAAAGTCTCTTGAGGCCTAAACTTAGAAATGGCACTCTGTCACTTCAGCCTCATTCTACTGACCAAAGCAAGTCACAAGGTTGAGCCCAATGTTAAGGAGCAGGCTATAATTGGAGGACACTGCAATATTACAAGGGCAAAGGACATGGATGTGAGGAAGGGTGAAGGTTTGGCGCCGAAACTGCAAACCACTACAGAATCCAGGCTAATGACAAAGACTTGAACCTCTTTTTCAGAAAGTATCATTGTCAAATGTGAGGTGATCATAAGAGCATCTGGATAGAAGAAGCCAGAGGAAGGCAAGAAACAGGAGAATTTTCACAAATATCACACAATACATTTGAAAATCACTTTATATCTAGTTGTCTCACTGGCCTAGGTCCCACCAGAAGAATAAATTCCATGAATTGGTTGGCAAATTTTAAATAAACAGACAGCCTTTTTTCTCTTAACTAATTATTCTGCTTTCCGAAGGCACTTATAATGAGATGTATTAGCTACTGCACAGATTCTGCCTTGGTAGGCCCATAAATAACTGAAGGCAATTTTACTATGTAGGGCCATTTTAACCAGCATATATACACTGGTCTCTTGGGCCTCTATATTTTCAGTTGTTTTATTTGCTATTTGGGCCATAAGGAGGGATGAACATGTCTGAAAACACGTTTTAGTCTGGAAACACTTTGGCTCAGTCGGCTGAGCATCTGTCTCTTGGTTTAGGCTCAGGTCATGATCCCAAGGTCGCAGGATCAAGTCCCACATCAGGCTCTGTGCTGAGCATGGAATTTGTTTGGGATTCTCTCTCTCCCCCCTACCCCTCTCCCCGACTCATGCTCTCTCTCTAAAAAAAAAAAAAAAAAAAAAAATCCTAGTTAAACCAATGAAATCTGATGTAAGTTACCCCACTGAGCTATGAACAAAATACGAGCACCTGGGAGAAGGAATCCTTACCTCTGAGCCACAGTTTCTATGTGTGAGAACAACAGTGCAGCCCATGCATGGTTCAAAAACCTGGTCTGAACCAAAAGGTCAGGTCTGATTCACAATGAGACGTGTACATTATGACAAGGCAGAAAGGGCTTTACAGAGCATCTCCCCAGAGTCACAAACCATCACATGGAGATTGGAAAAGAAAGTTCATCAATGCAACATCAGAAAAGTCACACACCACAAACACACACCACACTTAGAATACCCCAATGTCAGTATCAATCCTTAGAACTCCTCAACAGCATCCACTGGCTAGACCCTGAACTCCCAAAGCCAACTCCAAAACAGAGAGCTAAACTTTGCTTTGGAGCCTCTTACCTTTTTTAAAAAAATAAAAATAATTGATAAAATCAGTCCAGCTAACAAGATTGCTCCAATGTATAAAAAAATGTTCTTCAAAATACAAGCTGCCTTCTCAGATTCTGCAGAGAGACAGAACAAAAAAACATTAAGAGAAAACCCACAGGCCAGAGCCATAGACCACACACCACTGCTAGAGCCTGCTGTTGTATGTCATTTTCCCTGTCCCTGTGACCCTCTGCACATGCCTTGGCATCTTCCATTCCCATCATACACACCTCCACCCGTCAGTGTGTTTAGCACTTGCCAGAAAGTACTGCAATATCAAACACTACATACCACACACACATGCCATGCAATGTTCAAAACTTCCAAACTATGACACCATCTTACTCCTATAGACTGAGTAGGTGTGCTCCCCTCCCAATTCATATACTGAAATCCTAATGCTTAATATGATGGTATTAGGAGGTAGGGTTTGTGGGAGGTGATTAGGTCCTGAGGGTAGAGTTCTCATGAATGGATTTAGGCCCTGATGTTAGAGGCCCTAGAGGGCTCGCTCATCCCTTCCACCATGTGAGGATACAATAAGAAGTCTGCAACCCAGAAGAGGGTCCTCACCCAACCATGGTGGCACAATTATTGCAAACTTTCAGCCTCTGGAACTGTGAAAGATAAAGATCTGCTGTTTTGGGGGCGCCTGGGTGGCTCAGTCGGTTAAGTGTCCATCTTCAGCTCAGGTCATGATCTCACAGTTCGTGGGTTCGAGCCACGCGTCAGGCTCTGTGCTGACAGCTAGCTCAGAGCCTGGAGACTGTTTCAGATTCTGTGTCTCCCTCTCTCTCTGACCCTCCCCTGCTCATGCCGTCTCTATCTCTCTCTCAAAAATAAATAAAACATTAAAAATTTTTAAAAAACCCTGCTGTTTTTAAGCCACCCAATCTGTGGCAAATTGTTATAGCAGCCTGAATGGACTAAGACATACTTATAATGCAGACAAACCCCTTATTCCATACACACAAAGCATATTTCAATTTCATACTCCCCTTGCCCCCACATACCTTGTACACACCCCTTCACACATCACCCACACACATTCCTAGCCCTACTTCCTAGAACAATTCCTCTCTCCCTCCAAGACCATCTCATCTGGCACACCCAGACCACATCCCACAGGCTCCCTGGTCAGACCCTGACTTCTTTACCCCTCACAGCTCCAGGAAGATGCATCTGATCAGCAGGGTCATACCTACCCAAGACCAGGGCTGTGACCATGGAAGCCAAGATTATGTGCTCAATGGACCTCATCCCAACAGCAGGAGGGATTCTATAGCGAGTTGTAGATCTTGAGCTAAGGATCCAACGTGCCTGGGGCAAGTCCCAGGCTCCTGCAGGACCACCCTATTATGGCCTCCCCATCTTGGGCACAACCCATAAGGCAGAACTGATTCAGCCTCTACCAGTCAACAGTTTGCGGTAGACCTGGGGCCTGAGCAGAGGAGTTGCTGGCAGGCCTGGGTCCCTGGCCCTGGATAGACCTTTATCCTCAGAGGACAGGGACAGGGTCCTATGTCCACTCTCCTTGTAGCTAGCAAGCTTCACACTCCAAGCCATACAAATCACCCAGATTGCTCAAACTGCCATGGATAACAAGTTGTCATCACTCTCCATCTACTAGACCACCTGCCCTGGCTTAAGAGACCTAGTCTGGCCTGCTGACTCTCGGGGTGAGCTATGCCAGGCCAAGCTTTCTATCTTCCCCACTGGCCCCCATCTTCCTCGAGGACTGCCTGGGAACCAAAGCTTTCTGTTACCTGACCTCAAGGTGAAGAGCAGGAGAAATGTTCAAGAGGTTGCTTACCTATCACAGTCAAGGTGAAATTGAGCTTCTGGGGGCTAGGCAAGGATTTGTGATGTATCACACACTGGTAGATGGTCATACTGTCATCCAGAGATGGCTTCAGCATCAAGAAGCTAGTGACATTAAACATACCATTCTCATTGGTGTGATTAGTGATGATGCCCTCAGAAATCTCCTGAGGATCCTTCTGGGATAACTTTCTCCACGTTATGGTAATGTTGTTAAGGTGTAACCCGCTTGACATACACAAGATATGTGTTTCTTGGTTTTCTTTTACCACGGCTTGCTCCGGAAACAAGTTGCTGACTGGGGAAGCTGCCAAAAGAAAGAGGTCATTCTTTGAGGGTAGGTAAGGACTAATTTATTATCAGCCCAATGCCCCAATAACAATCCTAAGATTCAGCAAGCCTTCAGGAAAGGTGAGCCTACTGAATGGAATTCTGCTCAGGTTAAATATTGTGGGAATGTTGGTTTCAATGTAGGCTGATATGCTATGGGTCCCTACTCTCACAGCAATTTTATAGAGCAGAGTTTCTTAAGCTACTTTGCATCATACATCGACACCTTTGAAATTCTGAGGAAAGCCTTGGAACGCTGTTGTGGTAGAGACTGCTAATGGCCAATTTTCAATCTTCAATGACATATCCGAGTTAAAGCTACATCTTTCAACCTCCATGTAGCCATGTGAACCTTGGGTCTGGAAGCTTAAATGTAATTAGAAGTGATGAAAGCAACTTTCAGGAAGTATCCTTAAATAACAAGGGTATCTTAAAGAAAAGTACTGGGCCCTTCTCTTTCTCTCCCCCTTCCTCCTTCCTGCAGAATGGCTGGAATACCAAATGATGGCCAGAGATAGAGAAGCCACTTCCAAACTCAAGGTGGTAGCTACCTGTTGAGAATGGCAAAGTGATATGATAAAAGGATCCTGGGTCCCCTCAGGATACAAAACTGCCTTCCCTGCCTTGAGTTGGCTATAGTTGTGTGAAAGATAATAAACTACCTTTTTAAAAAGTCACTGTTGACTTTGTTGACATATCACCTTCTGACATGTAAAGATCCTGGAACTCATAGCAAGAGGAACAAACTGCAAATCAACAAGATTTTTTAGATCCACCTCAGAGAACTGAGAGGACAAGGCAAACCAGCACCCTGAAAATTAGACAGGCAGATTGAGAGGATCACAGCCAAGATTATGTCACCATAAGCAGATACCAGAGCCATAAACCAGCAGAAGCACTTAAGCAGTAACTCTGACAAATCTCTAAAGGATGAGCATGGACTAGCATGAGAGTAAGAAACTCCTGGGGGCCCAGTCTCACGGTGGCCACCATACTTCCATCGGTTTTACCACCAGGAACCCCACCAGGTTCTCACAGTGAAGATTCAAGAAATATTCCCACCTGTTTCACAGGAGAGGAAAAGTATTTAAAAATATACCCAGTACATTATCCATAACAAAGAATGTTCTCAAGAGGAAAGACTGCCAGCGCCTTCTCTGACCTGGGGTAAAGATGATTAGCCAACTCTGGCCCCCTCTAGATCAGGTCTCATCTAGGAACACTGCTGACGGTCACAGCCTAGGGGCTTACAGGACTCTAAGAATGAACTTTAAGGTAAGACCCACTGTTTCCCCTCTACAAAACTCCATTACCACAGCAACGGGGCTCCACAGTGATAACGGTAGAGGAAAACCAAGAGAGCAGTAAGGCACCAATTCTATTTAAGGAGAGAAACAAAGAAAACAGGTAGCCAGCAATGAGGAACCTGCCCATTCCAGAAGAAAATCCTTACAAGGAGCCTCTTAAAAAATGTTTCTCATGGGGCATCTGGGTGGCTCAGTTGGTTAAGCGTCTGACTTTGGCTTAGGTCATGATCTCACGGTTTACGAGTTCGAGCCCTGCGTTGGGCTCTGTGCTGACAGCTAGCTCAGAGCCTGGAGCCTGTTTCGGATTCTGTGTCTCCCTCTCTCTCTGATCCTCCCCTGCTCACGCTGTCTCTCTCTCTCTGTCTCAGGAATAAATAAAACATAAAAAAATTTTTTAAAGATGTTTCTTGTGTGGGAAATGTAGATTATAAGAAGGTACAGTTTTTGCCCCAGATTATTTCTCTATTTACTGGACGTATTTATGAAAGGCAAATAACAAGTCTTTGTGGGAAGAAACAGAAATCACCAAAGTGATTAAGAGAGCTCAAATAATGGGGTTTATGCCAGTTACATACAAGGATCCCACATATATCAAAGACCCTAACGTTTGTTAACAGCAAGTATCGGTAGTAAATTATATACATTTTATCATCAATAAACGTATTTTACAATAAAAAAGAGAGAGAGAGAGAGAGAGAGAGGGAGGGGTGGCTCGGTGACTCAGTTGGTTAAGTGTCCAACTTCAGCTCAGGTCATGATCTCGCAGTCTGTGGGTTCCAACCCCACATCAGGCTCTCTACTGACAGCTCAGAGCCTGGAGCCCACTTCAGATTCTATGTCTCCCTCTCTCTCTGCCCCTCTCCCACTCACACTTTGTCTCTCTCTGTCTCCAAAAAATGAATAAACCTTAAAAATTAAAAAAAAAAAAGCAAAGAACAAGTTCACCAAATAGAATGGTATATGCTAATCCAACTATATACATAATTACTTTATTTTTTTTTAAATATTTTTATTTATATCTAGGAGAGAGAGAGAGAGAGAGAGAGAGCGTGAGCAGGGAAGGGTCAGAGAGAGAGGGAGACACAGACTCTGAAATAGGCTCCAGGCTCTGAGCTGGCAGTCAGCACAGAGCCTGACGCGGGGCTCAAACCCACGAACCGAGAGATCATGACCTAAGCGAAAGTCGGACGCTTAACCAACTAAGCCACCCAGGCGCCCCTATACATAATTACTTTAAATGAAAGGTCTAAACATATCAATTAAAAGACAGAGAATATCAGAGTGGATAAAAAATAAGACTCATCTACATGTTTTCTACAAGAAACTCACCTTAAATATGAAGACAGGTTTAAACAGATAGATTTAAATTAAAGGGATTGAGAAAGATACATTATACTAATGCTAACCCAAATAAAGCTGGAGTAACTGAATTTAAAAGAAGCCTTCAGAACAACAACAACAACAACAAAACATTATTAGGGATAAAAAAAGAGACATTACTTAGTGAAAAAGGGATCGATTATTCAAGAAGACAACAATCCTCAATTTTTATGCACCTGATAACAGAATGTCAAAACACGTGAGGCAAAAACCAAAAGAACTACAGGAACAAATAGACAAATCTACAATTATAGTTAGAGATTTTAACACTCATCTTTCATTAATTGATAGATCAGCAGGGATAAAAGAAAACAGTTGAAATGAACAGCACCACCAATCACCTGGACTGAATTAATTAATAGGATACTTTATCCAACAGCAGAATATACATTCTTCTCAAGCTCACGTGGAACATTCACCCAGATAAATCACATTCTAGCTCATAGACTTTAAATATTTTAAAGAATAGAAATCACGCAGGGTATGTTCTCAGGCCACAGTGGAGTTAATCCAGATATAAATAAGCAGAAGCGTGGCTGGAAAAATTCGAGATTACTTGGAGAATAAATCCACCCAGGCGCCCCAAATCATTTCTACTCTAAATAATATATGGGTCAAAGAAAAAGCCTCAAGAGAAATTTTAAAATATTCTGAACCAGATGAAATTAAAATGATAATCCCACTTATGAAAATTTGTGGGTGATAGAAAAGAAATGTTTAGAGTGAAGTGTGTAACACTGAATACATATTTTAGAAAGGAGGAGAGATATAAAATCAACTATCTTAATTAATAAGCTTCCACCTTCAGAAACTAGAGGAAGAAGAGCAGTTTAAGCCTAAAGCAAGCAGAAGAAAAGAAATATCAAACTGTAGAGCAGAAATCAATGTAACTGAAAACAACAAATCAATGGGAGAAAATCAAAGCAACCCAAAACTGGGGCTTTGAAATGATTACTAAAATTGATAAGTTTCTAGGTTAACTAAAAACAAAACAGAGAAGACATAAAGTACTAATATCATAAATAAAAGAGGGATCACTACTCAAACCATGAATGAAAGCATAATAAAGGAACATTATGAGCACCATTATGACCATATGTTTGAAAACTAAAATAAAACGGACCAATTCCTTGAGAGAAACAAATTAACAACATTCACAAAAGAAAAAATAGATAATTTGAATTGGCTTGCTTCTATTAAATAAATTTAATCAATAATTAATAACCTCAAAAAATAAAGACTAGGCCCAAATGGTTTCAATGGTGAATTCTACCAAACATTTAAATTAATAATGATACTAATTGTTTTTACAATTTCTTCCAGCTATTAGAAGCAGAGGCAACACATCCTAACTCATTCTATAAATCTGGTGATATATTAATCCCCAAACCAGATAAAAACATTATAAGAAAGGAAAACTACAGACCAATATGTCTCATTACATTAATGCAAAAGTCCTCAACAAAAGATTAGCGAATTGAGTCCAACAATGTATAAAAATAATTATACACCACAACTAAGTGGGATTTATTCCAGGTATTCAAGACTGCTTCATCATTCAAGTCAATTAATATAATCCATTACATCAACAGACTAAAGAAGAAAAACTATACAATATCAATAATGCAGAAGAAGGATTTGGCAAAATCTAATACCTATTCATTTTAAAAGCTCTCAGGAAACTAAGATAAGGGGAACCTTCTCAACTTGAAAAAGAACACGTACAAAACACCTACAGCTAACATCACACTTAATGGTAAGAACCTAAGGATAGGAACAAGGCAGGGCTATTGCTTCTGACCACTCCTATTCAATATCGCGATAGAAGTCCTAGCTAGTATAATAGGACAAGAAAAGGAAATAAAAGATCTACAGATTAAGAAGGAAGAAATAAAATTTTCTTTGTTCTCAGGCATAAGATTTATATAGAAAAATCCCCAACACTGGACCAAAAAAATATTTAAACCCTAGAATAAGCGATTACAGCAGCAGCAGAATACAGGATTCACGGTTAATATATAAAAGTCAATGGCTTTCTAATACACAAGCAATAAACAACTGGAATTTCAAATTAAAAATCCAATACCATTTAAATTAGTGCCCTATCTGCCCCCCCCCAAGAAATACTTAAGTTTAAATCTAACAAAATAGGTATAGAATCTATATGAAGAAAACTAGAAAATTTTGATGAATGAAATCAAAGATCTAAAATGAAGATATTCCATGTTCATGGAAAAGAAGAATCAGTATTGTTAGGGTGTCAATTCTTCCCACCTTGATCTATAGATTCAATGCAATCAAAAGTCCTGAAAGTACTTTGTAGATACTGATAAACTGATTCTCAAGTTTATAAGGACAGGCAAAAGGCCCAGAATAGCTAACACAATACTGAAAAGGAACAACAAAATTTGATGACTAACACAACCTGACTTAAAAACTTACTATAAAGCTACAATAATCTATACAACATAGTATTGGTGAAAGAACAAACAGACCAACAGAACAGAATAGAGAGCCCAGAAAAACACCCACACAAATGTACTTAACTGATCTTTGCAAAGGAACAGAGGCAATTCAGTGGAAAAAAGGTAATCTTCAACAAATAAGCTGGAACAACTGGACATTTCAAGTGCACAAAGTTTGCACATGGAATGTAGGCACACATTTTACACTTTTCACAAAAATTAACTCAAAATGTTTCATAGACCTAAACATAAAACTATAAAATGTCTAGGAAGATAATATAAAAGAAACTCTAGGTGGCCTTGAGTTTGGTGATACGCTTTTAAATACAAGGCCAAAAGTATAATCCATGAAAGGAAAAAATTAGTTAGACTCTATTGAAATTTAGAACTTCTGCTCTGCAAAACACAGAGAAGAAAATGAAAAAACAGGCCACAGACTGGGAGAAAATATTTGTGAAACACATATCTGATAAAGGATTTGTATCTAAAATATACAGAGGACTCAAAAAATAAATAAATAAAATAACATACACAGAGCATTCTTAAAACTCAACAATAGGGACACAAAGAACCCAATTGAAAAATAGGCAAAAGATCTAAGCAAATATCTTTCAAAAGAAGATACGCAGATGACAAAAAAGCAAATAGAAAGATCTTCAACATCATCTGCCATTAGAGAATTACAAATTAAAACAACAGATGAGATACCACTACACACTTACTAGAATGACTAAAATAGTAAAAAAATTAACAATATCACACATTGATGAGGATATAGGACGGCAGGAACTCTCATTCATTGCTGGTGGAAATGCAAAATGATATAGTCACTCTGCAAGAACTGGCAGTTTCTTAGAAGTTTAATCATAGTCTTAACATATGATCCAGCAATCACACTCTTGGGTATTAATCCAAATGAGATGAAAAATTATGTCTACACAAAAACCTGCACCTGAATGTTTACGGCAGCTTTATTCCTAATTGCCAAAAATTGGAAACAATCAAGATATTTCTCAACAGGTGACTGGACAAACAATGATACATCTATACAATGGAATATTAATCAGTGATAAAAATAAATGAGCTATCAAACCACTAAAGGAAAAAAAAATAAGACATGGAGGAATCTTAAATGTATTTTGCTATGTGAAGGAAACCAGTCTGAAAAGGCTTCATAATAGATGATTCCAATTCCAATTATATAATATTCTAGTAAAGCAAAACTATGAAGATAGTAAAAAGATTAGTGGTGCAAGGGGTTCAAGAGGAAGGGCAAACAGGTGAAGCAGAGGCAGTGAAACTATTCTGTGATACTGTAATGGTAGATGTATGATATCATATACATGTCAAACTCATAGAACTAGGAACACAAAGAGTGAACCTTAAGGTATGCAAAATTTACATAAACAATTTAGGAGTTCAAGGAATCCCCAAAGAGAGAGAAGGTACACTGCAACAAGCAAATCTAAGTGTACTACAAATGTACGAAACAGCCTCACTGCAAGGGACAGAGGAAAGGGGCTGACCTATGGAACTCTTGAAATAAACAGAGTCTATAAGAACAAAGGCAAGATGAATTGCAAGTACTATGCCCTAGTTGATAAAGTTGTTTCTCATGGGGGTGCAAGTTAACAATTTTGATATGGCTGTAGACATACACTGGAATTAAACAAGTAAGTAGATGGGAGAATGATGGGAGCCAGGTTTCTGCCTGTTGGAGCAGGTTTCACAGATACGCAAGAGAAGAAGGCTAGAATGGTTCATATGGTAATAGATTAAAGTTAGGGACATCATTAAGAACTACTATATTAAATATAGACACAGATGGTTAAAAATAGAAATTCTTAGAGATATATGTATATACACAGATTAATATACCTACACATATTTATTTGCTCTGTCAGTTCAGAAGGCCCAGAAGCCATGATATCCCAGGGGGGACAAGCATATCTGGTGCCCACATTTTGGTTTCTAACACATTTTCCAATCAAAAGAACCAGGGAGAATTCCTTGAATAATTGGCTGATTCTGGAAATGGGACAAGAAATACACGAGATGGTCCTGTAGTATCTTATAGTGCCAGAAAGTAAGGAAGTACTCAGACCAAAACAAAACCCAACAATGATGAGGGTATGTCAAAGAGACACAAGAGTCCATGGAAAATATTCCCAATGGCCAAAGCTGGAACAATTTGAGCAACAAAATAAAGTTGTATGAAATTATAACCCAATGTACAAAATAAATATCCTGAGTCCACACTGACATAAATAAATTTATAGACTAATAAGTGGGGGAGAAGAGACAAATTTCTTATGCAGAAGAACCCCAAATAAATTATGTAACTACTCCACTCTAAAGGAGGGGAAGCATAATTAACCACAGCTTAAATGTGGGCTGCAGCACTCTTCCTTCAAAGAGTATAGGATGACAAAGAAGGGGAGGAACGTAGCTTTATAAGGGAGAAACCAGACAAATACTAAAGCTAGATGATTAAGGTCAACGCCAAGAGTCACAAATCATTCAAAGAGACGGGATGGGTTGAAAATGGCACTTTTCCTCTGTGATCTTCCTGCCCCCAAGCCATAACTCATGCGAATTATGAGAAAAATGGCAGGAAAATGCCAGGAGAGTGGCATGCTATGATATACCTGACCATTACTCCTCAGAATGTCAAGGTTGCCAAAAACAAGGGAAGTCTGAGAAATTGTCACAGTCAAGAGAGCCTAAGGACTCATGACAACTAAATGCAATGTGGTATTTTGGATGGGATCCTGGAATAGGAAAAAAGACACTAGGTTAAAATTTAAGGAAATCTGAATAAACTATGGACTTTCATTAATAATAATAATTATAAATATTGGTTTATTATTTATAACAAACATATCATACTAATGCAAAATGTTAATAATAGGGAAAGTGATGTGCAGAGATGGAAGTAATATGAAAACTCTGTACTATCTTTTCAATTTTTTTTTGTCAATCTAGAGTTATTCTAAAAAATAAAGCTTATTAATTGTTTTAAAATGCTTTTAAGCTTTCTGTCAGTTTCAGAGGAAGTGAAATCTACCTTAACATTCCCGTCCCCCAAATGAATATGTACAAATTGTTAAAAGTCCTAAGTACAATTTTGGGAAGGCTCACAGATGCTATCCCCCTTGTATAGGCTGAATTGTGGCCTCTCACAATTGATATGCTGAAGTCCCAACCCCAGTGCCTCAGACTGTGACTATATTTGGAAATGGGGTCTTTATTTAGGTAATTCAGTTACAATGAGGTCATTAGGTTGGACCCTAGTCTAATATGACCAATGTACTTGCAAGAAGAAAAGGGTAGGACACACATGCACAGAGCGAAGAATAGTGAAGACGCAGGGAGAAGATGGCCATCTACAAGCCAAGCAAAAGGGCCTCAGAAAAAAACAACCCCACTGATACCTTCATCTCAGACTTCTAGACTCCAGGGTTGTGAGAAAATAAATTTCTGTCATTTAAGCTACGTGGTCAGTGGTATTTTGTTATGGCAACCCCAACAAACAAATATACCCCCCAAAGCTCATCTACATATGATCAGATCAATCATAATAGAGGAGAGCTCAAAGAGGTGTTTGCCGGACTGTGTGGCTGTTGCTGCACATCTTCACTGGGCAACAGCACCCAGCTGGGCATGGTCATGCATTATGTTATGTACTCCTCAGAACATCATGAGGCAGGAGTGATTTATCACCCCATTTTGTACAGGGGAAAATTCAGGTCCAAAAATGTTAAGTGGCTGGCCCAATCACTTAGTTTGAAAGCAGTAAAGCTAAAGTAAGATTCAGATCTATGGAACCAGAGCCCAGCATCTCACTCCTTTCCCAGCTACCTTTCAGAGATACCTCTGCAGTGAATACTCTTCATACACTAAGTAAATTATATCATAACTTATATATGTATCTTTTACTGAGCACTTAGAATGGGCCAAACATTATGCTAAGCTTATTACCTGCATTTTTCATAGAGTCTTCCCCACAATAAACCTCCTTGGTAGATACTATTACATTTGTTCAGAAAAAGGTTCTGTGTGATTAATAAATTTCCCAACACTGTCCAGCTGCCCTTGGAAGCCCAGGACTCAAACCCATGTCTGTCTGACTCATAGGCCCATGCTCTAAACCCCTGCTCCATTTGGACCAGCCGCAACTCCACACCAAGCCTCAGTACCACAGGAACCACAGGGCTCTGCCCCCCTGGGAACTCACCCACCACCTCCAGCTTGACTTGTCCCACTGCTTTGTGAGGGGTGATCACCACCTCACATCGGTACACTCCGGCTTCCCTCAGCTGGATCCCTGGCAGCTGCAGGGAGGCATTCCCACTCTCCAGATTCTTTAGAGGCACCATGGCTCCAGGTCGACCTATCATTTGGTGTCCTCCAAAAAACTCAAATAGCTTAACTTCTGTTGCAGACGCCGGACCCTTCCAAAACCAGGTGATACCCATTATTGTTATGTTCGGGGAAGGGTGACCATAGACTTGGCAGAAAACAGTGGCATTGTCATTCAGGAGCACAGTCTGAGTTGTCCCTGCCATCTTCACATGCAAGGAACCTGTGGCAATAAGAGAAATTGGTTATGGAAGACCGTTGGAAAAAAAGCATAGGTCTGGTACTCTCAAACACTACCACCTAATTGAAAAGAAATCCCTTCTTTGTGGAGGGATGGGGTGTTTCCCATATAGAAGCTCTCAGTTCACAGTCCCTCGTTAATCTACATAAGATCGTTCAACTTTGTTCTTCTTTTTCAAGATTGTTTTCAATATTCTGTTCCCTTGCAATTTCAGAGGAATTTTAGAATCAGTTTATCGATTTTTACAAAGAACTCAATTTAGCTGAGATTGTAATAGGAATTGCACTGAATGTGTAGATCAATTTGGAGTGAACTACCATCTCAATAATGTTGTCTTCTAATCCATGAATCTGTTTTAGGGATGTACTATGGACTGAATGTTTGTGTCCCTCTAAATTTCATACAGTTGAAGTCTAATCCACAATGTGTTGGTATTTGGAAGTGGGGCCTTTGGGAGGTGATCAGGTCACAAAGGCGAAGCCCTCGTAAATGGGATTAGTGTCCTTACAAAAGCCAAGCAGAGAGAGCTCTTTCTCAGCACCAGGAGATAAAGTAAGAAGGTACTCCTCTACAAGCCAGGAAGAAGCCCCTCACCAGCACCCAATTCAGTCAGCACCTAGATCTTGGACTTCCCAGCCTCCAGAACTGTGAGAAATAAATCTTTGTTGTTTAAGCCACTTAGTCTAAGGTATTTGTTAGGCGGCCTAAAAGACTAAAGACAGGATATTTTTTCATCTTCTTAAAATTTTTTCAATAACAAATATTCCTGCTGTTCTGATTTTGTAATAATCAGGACAGGCTAAACATTTGCTATATTAAGACCATACATGTCTCCCCAGACTGATTCTTCCCCTAGATCTGGTTTTATCAATGCTGGTGATTTACATGATGCATCTTATGTAGGAAATATCTGTAAGTCTAGGTATCCTTGAGAAATGACAGCAAAGCTAGTGTAATCACTTTAAAGATAATAATTGCTAACTTGATGATTACCAGTTGCCATTAAATGAATTATAAAACTAAAAAAATACTTTATAGTTTTCAGAGTAAAAGTTTTGTGCTCCTTTCGTTAAACTTATTCCTAATTATTTTATTCTTTCTGATGGATTCATAAATACAACTGTTCTCTTAATTTTATTTTTGGATTGGTCATTGCAAGTGTATAGAAATACTATTTATTCTTATTTACTTCCACCTAGCTCCCACAACAAGCACCCATTCGAAGATACTTGATGCTTACCTTTTTGTTCTCTTTAAAACTGCCTTGTTTTGTTTCTCGAACTTATGAAAATGATACGGAGTTACATGTACTGTTTCCGCTCCTGGCCCGTTTCAAGATCCTCTCATTGCTATGTGTACAGCTAGTCCATTGGTTGAAATTGTTGACAAGTTCTCCACATACAAATCCACATCTGGCTCACCTGCAGCCTCAATGGTGGACCCTGAGATGGTCTCCTAAATTCCCACATCCCGACCCATCCACCCACCACCACTTGGCACAGCCTGGCCTACTCTGGCCAGTCCAGTAAAGTGTCAAGTGATATTTTACTGTTAGCTCCTATTCTATGATTAGTAAACATCTCTTCATATGCCTTTTCAGCCTTCTGGTGACCTGTTCGATAATTAGAAACATCCATCGGTGTCCCTCTCCCTCCCCCCAAAAAAGTAAAAGAGAACGTTTGAATATCACCACGAGATTAAAACACTCCCCTCACTCGCGGCAAAGATTTTAGTGAAGTGACGATGCCTCCCCGACAAACCCTTGAGACAAGCAAGTGAAGTGGTTTTTTAAAACTTCCTCCCCTTTGTTTTTCTTCTCAGCTGTAGCGTCCAAAGTGATGCAAGAGGCCCTGAAATTCACAGAGCATTCAGAGCAGAGAATCAAAGGAGGCACCGGGTCCCAGGGGCGGGAGCAGACAGCACAGTAATGAATGAGTGAAGGAACTCGAATTTCAGAGGAGAGCTCCCGGCGCTCGGAGCTCGTTAAAGCCCGGAGCGGCTACGATCTCAGGCGGGACTCCTGCTGTAGCGGACCCGTAAGGGTCCCTCCCCACCTGCGCCCCGGGGCGCAGCGGGCCTACCTGCGCTGGGCGGCGTGTGCCACAGGACCAGAAGTAGAGGCAGAGGCCCAACAAGGAGCTGGAGCGGCGGCTCGCAGCCTCGCAACACACGGCCTGCTGACCCGTGAGCCATGTCCACTGCTACGCGTGGTTTGGCTGCGCTGATTTGCTAAATGGGCGGGTCGGAGCCTGGGTCCGCCTCTTGAGCGGTCTCCAGAAGCTTCTCGTGCGTGACTCCACCCACCGTCAGCAACGGAGACACTGAGTGGGCGGGGCTGCAGCCACCTCCCCGCAGCCCGCGGACACGCGAACGGACTTAAGTAAGGGCGATGCCGCACCTCCTAGGCCTATGCGTCACTGACCTTTCAGCTATTCTGCGAAGTGCGTCTGGCTGGCTCTGCTTCCTTTACCTAGAACACTTGTATGGAGCAACGTGCCCGGCCGCACGTCAGCCGTGGCGCAGGAGAGCTGGGGGAACCGCAGGACTTGGGCGGCACAGGTTATCACCGCAGTGGGCGGCGGGGGGGGAGGGGTGTCCTGAGTGGGGGTTTCAGGTCAGCGTCTCGGTTCACTTTGTTTTACTTCTGTTTTTTTTTTTTTTTTCCTGTTCTGAGAGAGAGTGAGAGAGAGTGAGAAAACACAAGCAGGGGAGTGGCAGAGAGATAGGGAGACACAGAATTTGAAGCAGGCTCCAGGCGCTGAGCTGTCAGTGCAGAGCCCCTTGCAGGGAACTCGAACCCACCGACCATAAGACCATGACCTTGTGCTGAAGTCCCAGGCCTAACGGACTGAGCCACCCCAGGTGCCTAGGTTCACTTTGTAAAGTGAGGCCGGGAGCCCCTCTGTGGAGGCGCCACTGAGGGTGGTGGCCGTGGTGGCTGAGGTTAGCTAATGCAGTGCCAGAGCGTGGGTTGTGACAGGGTGACTTCTCTTACCATAGACAAGATAAACTTACATTACTTTTTTTAAAAAAAAAAAAAAAAACAAGCTTGCGTTTCTTAAACTGAAAGCCAATTTTATATCAATCATCTGAAGGCAGCCCTTAATGTCCCATCCCCTTACTAACCAAAAAGTGGCTTCTAACTTTGTCCAGCAAAACCTGAAATGTGCAGTGATCATTAAGTTTTACCGCCTCCATACCAGTTTTTAAATCCGTTTTAACTACAAAGTCCAGAACACAAGTAGCAGTGCTATAATAATAAATGCATACACCTCTTTGTCCAGCATCTTGCATTCCAGTAGTCTCGCTGATCCTACCTAGTTTTTTCCTCACATCATTAAAAGTAATGTATGTAATCTATAGAAAATCACAGGCGACCTGGACTCAACTGCCGGCTGCATCATCACCGATTGTGGAACAGTGGGCAAGTTACCTCGGTTTCCACTTTTCTAAAAGTGAGATAGTAAAATCTTCCCTGCAGGGCTGTTGTAAGAATTGCAGGATCAGGCAGGGTGTGAATGTAAGACTCAGTGGTACTGTCAGTAACTAAAGTAGGAATTTACATTCTCACTCACCTGCAGAGCATGCATAGTGGAAAGAGCATAGAACTGGAAGGTGAGCAGGGTGCCCACACTGATACCAACTAGCTAAGGGACCTTTGGAAAGTCACAGTTTCTGGGCCACAGTTTTAACAAGAGATCTACAAGGTTAGGTCCAGCTACGGAATTCTAAAATCCTAAATTACACCTTTTCTCAACTGCTACCTCCTCCAGGGAATCTTAACCTCAGGAGAAGGCCTCTTGTGATATTACTGACATCATTGACTAACTTCTTTCAAGAAATCCCTAAACTTGCCCAGTAAACCACTCTGCAAACCACTGGGAGGTCCACTGCAATGCTATCACTGGAAGCAGGGGCTGGATACTAAGAAGGCTGAAAAAGGAATTCTGTCATTGGTACATGATCTCAAAGGCCCTAAGCCTCTATATAATAGTGTTCTGCAAAGAATTCATTCTTTCAACACTGTAAAGTTTGTCTTTTTCAGAAAATTACAACAAATATTATATATTTTTCTGATTTTACATTTAATATAATTAAAAACAAAGCTATACAAATGATGATTAGAATAATATATTCTGACAAATATTGCACTGGGAGAATTTTTACAATGTATCATCAAAAAACAAATACAACAAACTTGTATCTTTTTTTTGTGTGTCTTCCTGATTATCAAATTAAAACCCACTTATTTTGCAGTTTTTTAAGTGATCCAATTTTCTAAATAAGCCAAAAAGAATTAAGCCTAAGTACACTCAGGTTAATAAAATTTCTTTGGAAACTTTAAAATTAACAGAACATTTTTGGTCGTGTATTTATAAAAGGTTACATTTTTTTAATTCAACACTTAAATTGAAAAAATTCCAAAATTCCCCAAATTTAGTAATAACAAATAAAATAAATGGTCTTTAAGATAGGATGTATAAACCATCATTATTAAATGCTTTTTAAGACATAATGGGGGCACCTGGGTGGCTCAGTTGGTTAAGTGTCTGACTTTGGCTCAGGTCATGTTCTTGCAGTCTGTGAGTTTGAGCCCATGTCAGGCTCTGAGCTGAGCCCGGAGCCTGCTTTGGATTCTATATCTCCCTCTCTCTGCCTTTCTCCTGCTCACACTGTCTCTTTCCCTCTCTCTCAAAAATAAACATTAAAAAAATTTAAAAACATAATAAACACTGACAAAGTATGGATTATGCACCACTGGTTTCCTTCATGAAAAAGAAGGGCAACATTTTTTCACTTTTTAGTTCCAGAAGACAGTTTTGTTCAGAAGACAAAAAATAACTAATGATCTTCCCTCTATACCTACGTTACGCACAAGCTTACATATAAACGTACACATATTGCTTCTGAAATACGATCTTTCCATTAGAGGCTACATAAATTGGTACACGGACATACTGAAAGTTGAAAGGGCGTACCACCTTCATATGTGCTAACAGATCTTGGACTAACAGCTTCAAGGAAAGAATCACCTTCACTGAAAAGGGGCTCCTTCCTCCACCTCTGCTACAGTACTTGAACCTCCAGGGCTCTTCCATTCTTAGTCCCTGAAACTGGATAGAGACGTGCCAACATAACTATCTGGAAGTCACCAGAGCCCTCACAAAAGAATGAAACAGTCACTGGACGTTAACTGGCTTCAAATTGTCCTTAAAATACCTAGCCTCTATTATATTTACATAAATCTTTCACAAATTAATCCTGTCTTAGTAAAGTCACCTCAACATCTTAATTAGTAATACAAGAGACTCCCTTGGAGAAAAGATGAATAATTTGGACTTGTGAGGGAAGGGCAGAATTCCTTTCAAAAGACCTGATAATAACCCCCAAAAGCCAGAGGCAGTGAAACTCTAAGACAGCTGACAGTGGTGCTAATAACATTCTACATCCTCAGAGCTTTCTCCAGTGACTCAGGAAGAACATTAGAAACACAACAGTGGGAAAGTCAATACAAAAGTGGAAAAGGGGAGAGTTCATAGAGAGAAAAGAACTTAACTAAACCTCAGATCATCCGGGCTAAAATAATGAATACAAAAAACTATGCTACTTCTCTTTTAGTCAGAGATTGCCAAATTCATGTCCTGGTCTTTCTATTATAATTAATACTTTTTTTCCTTTATTAACAACTGTAAGACAGAAAATGTTGCTGGATGCACAAAATATTTTTTAAACTATTATTGTTTAAGGTGAAGGTGAAAAAAAGCTGAAGAATTGGACAAGGGACATTCATCAGATTCTGAATGCTATGCATTTGCTCATAAGCTGGCTCACTTTGTGGAAGAGGAGTCAGAAGCTCTATAAATAAGTTAGAAATTTTCTTCAGGGTTAGAATTACTCTCCACAGTGCTCAGAAACCCCTCTATGAGTGACTGCCTGCTTGCCTAACGAGCTCTTTCTGCAAATGTGGCTTTCTTTTTCCTAGTATCAATCCTGAATCTCAATGAAACATGCTATATATGTCAAAGAGAGTGAAAATACATACACATCAAAGGAAACGAGAAACATATACAGGGTTAGAACTGAGAGTTAATCAGAAAAAAAGTAAGCTACAAATTGTAAGATACATTGCTCAGTGCTATAGAACAAGATGATAGGAATTTTAAATTGTTGTGTTTGACAAAGATGCTTCAGTACTACCACAAAGCTGTTTAAACGTTACAAGGCATGGCAAATGTTTTAAAAAGAAAATATCTGTAAGACATCACTATACTAATAAGGATATATTTACAAGGTAGCAATACCAAGAACAGAAAAGGTAAAATTCAAAAGTAAAGCAAACTCAAATTACTTTAACATTTGAAGGGTAATAGTGAAGAGTAAGCTAGGTAACACAGCATAGTACGAAACAAATACCAAATGGCACAGGCTGTCCATGGGTTTCATGCTCCACACACAGGGAATCTAAAATGAGGATAGCCATTTAGTTAAGTGAAACATACTCTTATTATCACTAGAAATCTACATTTAGCATGGACTAAAATTGAACAAAAATAACATTTTAATACAATGATTCATGGGAGAAGGCAAAGAAAACTAAATGGAACCTTATTTTTTTCTCTCTCACTTGTAAGTCACTCAGACAAGTCACAACTTTAAAATCATGTGGGAATAGGGGCACCTGGGTGGCTCTGTTGGTTAGGCGGCCTACTTTGGCTCAGGTCATGATCACACAATTCACATCAGGCTCTGTGCTGATAGTGCCAAGCCTGCTTGGGATGCTCCCTCCCTCTTTCTCTCTGCCCTTTCTTTCCTCTCTCTCTCTCTCTCTCAAAATCAATAAATAAACTTTTTTAAAAAGATCATGCGGGAATAAACCTGTTTTTAAATGCCATGGTGCAGCAAAAATTATAAGAATTGTAAAATAAAATACTTTAACACTTTAATTACAAGATATATATTCATAATCCTGGGAGTCTTGGAAAATATGTTCACTACTAAGGATAAAACAAAAAGAGGTAAGGAAATTGGCACAGCAAAAGCCAACTCTATTGCTTGTAATAGATAATAAACAACACAAAACTTGTTTACAGGCATGCACAGCTTCAAAGTTAACCGGAAGGTTGAGCATATAAGGAAAAAGACACTGTCAAGGGCTGGCTAACAACCAACCTCGTACATGGCATTCATGAAGAATATACTAGTGTCAGGGCACCTGGGTGGCTCAGTCAGTTGGCCATCTGACTCGGTTTTGGCTCCGGACATGATCTCATGGTTCATGGGTTGTAGCCCCATATTGGGATTCTCTCTCTTTCCCTCTCTCTCTGTTCCTCCCCCTCTTGTGCTGTCTCTCTCTTTCTCAAAATAAATAAACTTTAAAAAATTCTTTTTAAAGAACATACTAATGTCAATCAAAAT